GGCCGCCCAGCCCCGGTTCCCACCTCCCCAGGCCCGGCAGGCGGTAGCGAGCCCCACGCACCCAGCAGCCACGCCTGCGCAGTGCCCCACTAGCCACATACAGACGCACATAAATCACTGATCATATGGTACGTCAGCAGGGGCCGAAACGCAAGTCACACCAGTTTGTTCCCGTTTTTGGGGTGCTGTGATACTGAATGTAATCTAGAATCGGCTCTGAAAGAGGCAGCACCCCTCAGCACACCCCACACAGCACCTCTCCTTGCTTTCAATTGCTCGATTCATCCAGGACTCGTCCTGGCAGACTGCTGTTAGCTGCAGGTGCCTTTGCATAACTACCTCAGAGCCAGTGGTTCAGACTGTATTTTGGAGGATCTCCTACCCAAACCTCAAACACTCTAGGTCTTCTAAAGTTTTAGAATAGCAAGAAATATTTCATGTACTGCTAATGCATGGGCAAAGTTTAGAATAAAAACACTGAAACTTGCTCTATTACATGTCGCTGCAGGAGTGCTGGTTTTGTCATGGTACCCACCTGGCCTAGCAGACGACAACGGGGAACCATCAGACAGCCTTGTGCCATTTATACTGGATGCTGCACACAGATATGCCATAAAGGTAAGGCTCTTGTCTGTTGTTTGAGGCCATTAAATTAGATGTTCAGCTTCAGCAGAATGACAACGCTGTGCTTAGGCAAGGGCCCTCCTCCTCCCTTTCAGTTACTGCATGAAAACAAATGAGCACTTAAAAAGAACACAATGAGAAAGATTTCTCAGGAGCTAAACACAAGGCTTTTTTTCTTCTTAACAGTTGGGATTTTCAATTTAGTTTTCACTAGCATTACTGAAAACTAGTGAAAGCCCTGGCCTCACTGAACAGACTGCTGTATTTGCTTGCATCACGAAAGGGGTCCTCCCAGGCTACCTGCAGGCCTTTACAAAGGAGCTAGCGTCTTCTGAGAGGTCAGACTGCAGAGAAAGCAAAGCAAGTATGAAAAAAATAACCACCTCCACCATGGTCTCTTTTGAAGGTTGCCTTCCATATCCAGCCATACAAAGGGCGTGATGATCACACCGTGCACGAAAACATCAAATACATCACGGACAAGTAAGTTTTTCATGTAGGTGAAGTCTAGCTGTATAATGTTGCTTTAAGCACAAACAATATGCAAAACTTTAAATTAAATGCACCAGAACACTATCCAAAAAACAGAGCACAGAGGAGGAAGCTACCTAGAACAAGCCAACAGGGAAAAACTGAGCAGGCGTCATAATCAAATCCCAATTTCTCTGGCACTTCAATACCTTGCCTTCAGAACCAGAATTTGCTTCCTTCTACCCAGGCTTCTGAGGTGTTACTGTAGGCTGGCACCTATACCCTTTCTTTCAAAAGAAAAGAAACAGGCACAGACACCACAGATTAAAAAAAAAAAAATTCCCATAAATAAGGAGATCAAGGTTCCAAAGAAAAGTTCTGAGCAAGGAGTCCCCATGAGACAAATCAAGTTTCACATCATGCTCGCCTTATAATGAAAATAGCTGCTGAGGGTGTATTACCCCAGTCACTGAAACAGCTTTGTGCTCTCTCTCTCTAGATATGGATCACATGCAGCTTTTTATAAGTACAAGACCAGCACTGGCAGAAGTCTCCCACTGTTTTATATCTACGATTCCTACTTGACACCAGCTGAATCGTGGGCCAACCTTCTCACATCATCAGGCTCCCACTCTCTCCGCAATACTGCTTATGATGCTGTGTTCATAGCACTGCTGGTGGAGGAAGGACACAAGCACGATATCCTCTCTGCAGGGTATGATGGCATGTACACATACTTCGCATCCAACGGCTTCTCTTTTGGCTCATCCCACCAGAACTGGAAAGCGATCAAAACTTTCTGTGACTCCAACAACCTGATGTTCATCCCCAGTGTTGGCCCAGGCTACATTGACACTAGCATCCGCCCTTGGAACAACCACAATACTCGGAATAGAGTCAACGGGAAGTACTATGAAACAGCTCTGCAGGCTGCTCTCATGGTCAGGCCAGAGATAGTTTCCATCACTTCTTTCAATGAATGGCATGAAGGCACCCAGATTGAGAAAGCTGTACCCAAGAAGACTCTGACACGCCTTTATCTGGACTACCTTCCTCATCAGCCTAGCATGTATTTGGAGCTGACCCGCAGGTGGGCAGAACACTTCAGCAAAGAGAAAGAGCAGTGGCTGATGTGACTTCAGTATTTGCCTTACTCGGAAAAAAGTCCCATTGACAAAGCTGCAGCAGAGAGAAGCACTTAAGGAAAAAGCACTCAAGAAGCAGCCACAGGAGTGAAGTCTCTGTGCAGAGCATTCAGCCTATTCAGGCAGCTGTAGCAAACAGCATTCTCCACAAGCACCCCTAGGATTGCTTAAGCCCCAACTCCAAAATCCCAGGAGGAAGCGTTATAAGGAGCAGAGGATCTCTAAGCAGCAGTCCAACCTAGCTCTCCTGCAGATTTAGTACAGACAACCCTTTCACAGCTCTTCTGGAATCTTCACAGGGCTGCTGGCTTGTGGGCCAGAGATCTGGTCCATTTTTCTTACAGTGTGTATGTTCTGTGGCGTTCCACATAGTTAGCCGGGTTCTAGCATACTTTTTACCTGATGCCCTTGGCCCACCATCTGCAGTGATCACATATTGCCTCACTCCACTAGCAGCTCTGACAAAGCATTTCCCTATAAGCTTAATGGAAAAAAAGGTTCCTCTAAATTGTCTACTATAGAGGAAACTAAATCATGCAATTACGTACCCTTTGCTTTATGCAAGCTCTTTCATAACCAAGGAGTTCTGCTTTGGGTGTTGTCCCTGTGACCCACTGTATCCAAATAAAGATAATTAGAGCTGGAATGCTAGCGACTATTTAACCTACTGTGTGTGTTGGACACCAAGGAAATTCAATGATCTCTCCTAAAGGCTCTTACCTGATTGCTTAGCGTTCCATGTTTTGAAAATTTAGATCTGAATTGTTTTATCCTCTTAGCAACCAAGGAACAAAAACATTTGCAATAAAAATGCAATTGAAAATACCATTAATTTGTGCTTTGAAAGAAAGTCAGCACACAGGAGTGCACAACCCCCTTTTGGGGTTTTTTTTAACATGCATAGGCCCTTCCAAATTAGCCATTAAAGTTAATTTATACTTGTCTGTATCAATAAAATGAGAAGTGGCAGCTCTGTATGCGAGACAATGGTCTATTCACATGTGCCTATGGTGTGTCATATGTGACGGAAAACATCTAAAAATAAGCATTTATAACAAAAATATGTTGCTTACCAGTTTTAAGATTAATAGCACCACAAACTTTACTGTTCCTTGAAGAATAAATACCAGAGGAAACTTTCATCCTGTTCCCTATTTACTTCAATTTAGCACCGTTCCCAAAACAAGATCAAGAGAGAAGAAAGTCCACATAAGAAACTGAAGATCAACACATTAAGAGCTTGGCTTCTTTCTTCCACTAGAAAAAAGTTAGGCCTTCTAATAGATCTAAGCAACTCATATCTAGGTAGAGAACTGAATTTTTTTCTTTTTTAAGCATTTACAGTTTCATCTTAACAGCAGGTTTGATTGTATTCGTAACAGAGAAAACTAGCCAGAGAACAATGTACCTACCACAACCTGAGAGTTTGAATAACCCCTTTCCCATCTCTGTTTTCCTTTCAATGCAGATACAGTTAAACAGACACATGAAACAAGTTCTAAGGGAAGGAGGATCAGCAACACTTATCTTCATCATCCCACCCTGAAAACAGCCTCGTGTTCAAATTATTTTATTTCAAAGGCCTAATCATCTTAATAAGACAGATACAGGTATTTGGGAACAGCACACCACCACAAAGAGATCAGCATAAATATCGGGTTGGTTTCTCAGGCTATAGCAGATATGACACTAATGGGTACCCATTAACTGTTGCTCTCATTACCCTTAGTACTCCAACATAACCCACTGACCTTATTAAACAAGGCCATTAATGCTCCCTTCCTGAACGCACAGGCAGGCACACAGTGCCCAGCTTTACCAGCTCTGTAGAGCTTCCTCAGAGTTTGAAGTCTCAAGATGATTCTGGTATCAAGCCATACTTCTGCCTCAGGATTTCAACTGTACATGTCAGTGCACTGTGGGGGGGAAAAAATAACTGTCAGAAAAGGTTACTTCTTCAAGATTTAGCTGCATTTTCTGGGAAACAGCACTCAGCTAAGGTTGCATTTTGAATTCAGGAGAACATGAACTACAGAAACTACGGTGTTTCATGTAGAAGAAACCTCTAGACAGGGGCCGCCTGGGCTCAACATTTGGAGTATTCGCTCAGGATTTCTGAGTATGCTATTAATTAAGCTAAAAATAGCAATGTGAAGATTAACCAGTGTGGGAAAATAAGCAAAACATGACCCACCCTAAGCGGAAAGCTTCATTTTATCTAAAGTAAAGAAAAAGCAACAGTTTCATTTAGCAAAAAGTGCTCACCAGCCAGGGCGAATGATGCTGAATTTCCCCGATACTGATAAGTCAACCACAGTTGACCCCAGACGACATTCTGGGCTCTGGACATCCCCTACTGGGCCTCCATCAATGATTAAGGACAACTGAGGCCAAAGGTCTTGGAACTCCTGAGAAAAAGAGATGCAGCCAACAATCCAGAAGATGGTTTGTAAGCATGTTTACTAGGTGCTATTGAACAGTCTAGTGTCAAGGGAGGTGGTCTCACCTTCTTCCATCATGAACACATCCCAGTTTGTTATCTTGAGAACAGATTCATCTTACACATGACAGAAAGCTCCAAAGGGATCTCAGGCTCAGGGCTTCTTAGCTGCATCGCTATTTATTAAAGCGGCTGACAGAGCGCACAAAAAAGCTAGAATTCTATCAAGACCTCTGGGGACAAGAGCAGGGCATCCATTTGGTACTGTGCCCAAATATATAGCATCACCAGGGTCAAAAGCCTTGGAAAAAGACATTTCCTCAAGTCAAGTTAGTTCTCAGGCTGCAAGGAGCTGTACAGAGAGCAGCGGTCTCATTCTAGAGCTGTCCCTCCTGCAGCAATTTCTGTCTTCCAGTTTTGGCACCCCCTTCAAAAGCTGTGTACAAAGCTTTCAAATATTACTTTTTCAGCTCTGCCCTTCCTCAGTTTTTAAGGTAAGGATCTCAGCAAGACAGCTACCACGCACCATAGATCTGCAGGCTGTTTCAACTACAGACTAGAGACTTTAAAAAAGAAAAATAACAGCAGCGCAGAAGAAATTCTTGTTTTACTGATAAAGCTGGCTTGCAATGGGAAGGCTTGGGGATCTGAGAGCCTACCACAGTAATATCAGAGTAGAAAAACAGCCTTACCGAAACTGTCAGTGTGCTTGCCTGACAGCTAACGTTTGCACTCGTTAAAGCCAGTGGTCCAGAGCAAGCTCGTGCGAGCTCCCTAATAAAAGGATGGTTTGGAATACGAACACCAACCAGCTACAAGGAAGAAGAGAGTATGGATTGACATGCAGTAACTAGAGATCTTTTTTTTAATCTTGCATTGCCTAAATTCAAGTCAACACTAAAGCAAGTTAATGCTTCAACACCTGTTGCACTGGATCATTATACGTGCATGCTTTCATAAGCTAGCATCTAATGCTCAGTTATGCCACATTCAGATAAGTCACAAGGAGCACCGCAGCACAAGAACCAGCTTCAAGGAAAAGTCAATCACTGCTAAGCACATTAAACACATGCAAGAATAAGAGCTGCTGCAGCAGAAGCACAAAAAGTAAAATGCTGTAAAACAAAAATACATAAATGCATCACATGACAAAGACCTACCGATGTGAAAGGATTCAAGTCTTTATTTAGTTCTTCTGAACGCTTTAAGACCAGAGTCACAGGTCCTGGAAGCAGGTCCCTCAGCAGCTCATCTGGCACATTCACGTGGCAGTATCTACAGAGCGAGAGGAGGGGCACGAAAGACCGCTGCACAACCCTTCACAGAGGCTGCTGGTGCTGCATGCACTGAGAAACAGCCAGCTACAACACAGCCCTTCCCTTTGGATCTCATGTTCTGCACTACAGTAACTAGAAAGCAGATTTCTCCCTACTGCAGGTTCCACAGAGTTTAGGCAACCACAAACCTCTCTTAGAAGTTCCTCACCTCTGGGCTTTCAGGAGCTCAAACTTATTCTCCGAATGTGCCCCACTGCCTCACTTGTACACATTTGTTTAGCACCGTAAACAGGTTTTAAGAGAAGGGGGTGAACAGCCACGCAGCCGGAGCAGCCGCGGCGCGGAGGGCAGGCCTGGGGGCTCCCGCAGCC